TCTGTTACATTTATAATTTATAATTCCCATTCTGAATAATAATAATAATAATAATAATAAATTTTATTTATAACCTGCCTCTCTGCATCGCAATCGAGGCGGGGAACAGCAATAATAAAAACATACCGTACATTTTAAAACATTTCTTATCCCAAATCCAACCCTCCCACCCCTTAAAACTAAATTAAACTATTAAAAAAAAAGAAAACAATTGACAAATACAGCAGATTAATGGTGCAATCCTGTGCCTACTGATACAGTAGTAAGCTTATATTTAATGGGACATGTTCTCTAGTAATGAATTTAGGATTGTAGCATTAATTGTTATGGGTTTGGATATAATGTTTCCCACATATCTGATAAACAGCAGGTGGCAGTATGACTATTTAACACATTGAGGTTGTATTTTACACACACACACACACACACACACACACAATCTGATCAAAATTAGAAGTCATCTGTTGGGAGGAAAATAATAAAGGTTTGTCCCTTCCTGGCTTTTAAAAGAGTAATTGCACTATAATTTTGAAAACTGCATGGGGTAATCTGTGATGAATCATTTAAATTATAATAAGACTTATTTTGAAATGAAACTTATTCATCTTCTGGTAGATATCAGACCATGGGAAAGTTTCTTTTTCAAACTAAAACTCCCAGAAAGCAATCCCCAAAAGTAACTTTTTTGCACTCTGCTTCTTGCTTGCGATTTCATGGGCATTTGTGATGCTCATGGCATCTCTACTGACAAGGTACACAACCTCACCTTTTGATGCCACACTCCTTTGGTTTTTTTCCTTGTATTTTAAAATTTAAACTCCAAGATGCTTAATGCTGCCTATAATCTTTTCGCTCAAGTGAAAGAGCATTATTAGCCCTTAAATTAGGGATGGGGAGGAAGCATACTGTAGTGGTTGAGCATTAGAGACCAGAGTTCAAATCCCTGCTCAGTCAAGGAAACCCACTTGGGCAAGTCACACTCTCTCATCCTCAGTGGAAGGAAAAAGCAAACTCCCTCTGAGCAAGAAAATTTTGTGATCGGTTCTCCTTAGGTTTGCCATAAGTTGGAAATGACTTCAAGGTACACAACAACCTGTGACCCTCCAAATATTATTAGACTCCATTTCTCAATGATCCTAGCCAGTCTGACCCTCCAGTGAGAGATGATGGGAGTAGCAGTTACTCAACATCTGGAGGGCTACAAATTTTTCATACCTGACTTCAGTTAACAAAAAGAAGGCAGCCATCAAGAAGAGCTATCCTTTCTCCTTGCAAGATATATGCCTATCATTTATGGAACATCTTTCTTTTTTAAAATTGAATTTTATGATTGCATGCTCCTCCTTTGCAGCACTACATGGCCAACTCGTTTCAGATATATATATATATTTAAAAGATAAGTTCTTCTTCCATGTCATTGGAGTAAAATTGCATTAAACTTCTTCTTTTACAATTTCAGTAGCTTTTTTCCTAAAGCAAGACTGTCTCACCCCCCCCATCAAGATATTCCTCCCATTTATAACCCATTCTGTTTTGAATAAGATATAGTGTAAACATTCACAATGACTAAAGCAATAAAACGAATGTTTAAACATAATGATAAGACGAACAGAATTATTATGCAAACTTTGGGGTTGTTTGAGTAATTGTTTTCAGTACTATGTACATAACTCCCTTTTTTAAAAAGCAGCACAGGCATAGCAAGTTTGAAAGGTTTCTCTAAGATTATGTAAGATGTTTGTACAGAATGAAACTGTACCTTATCAACAAAAGCTAGTAAGTCACCTCAAAGCAACTATCTGAACTGGGAGAATCCCAGAATTCAATTTCCAGTTTAAAAAAAAATCCAAAAAACAAGAAGCAAGATTCTTTCCTCGTGGTTGTGATAAAGAATTATGAATGAAAGTTTGACATATCTGGTTTTTATATGTATGGAGACAGACAAAAATAAGGATTTTCTTTTGGTACCTGGTAAATTATAATTATAAATAAAATAAATGTAAACATTATAATGAAGAAAGTAATTGTTTGTTTGTTGCGATGGTATTACAGCATTTTGAATAGCTATTGTTAAGAATTTCTGTATTAGGACTGTGCATGGATTTTCTGATTAGGTTTAGAACATGATCTGATGATTTAATAATAATAATAATAATAATAATAAAATTTATTTCTATCCCACCCCTATGCAACGGAATTGGGGCGGCTTACAGTTTAAAAATTCCACAATACATATATCCACCAATGACCTAACCCACCCACCCCTTAAAAGATTTGTATCTCAACGCAGTTCAGTCTGAATTCAATTTATCAGTTAGTAAAAGAAAATGCTTATTTTTGTCTGTCTCCATCTAGACCCAATGCATTCTGATCCCAAACCTGAATCTGAAACAAGATTTGGGAATCAGGATCACCAGTCCTCCTTGCACTGGAAAAACAAAAATAGCTATAGCTTCAAGAAAATTACACGTAAACGTTAAAGGTGCAATATACGCTGAAGAGATTAGCCCAGCCTGCTAACCACAAGTGTTTTTCTACTAGGCATTTGCAAAATTGCTGGTTTAAAAAACAAAACAAAGCCAAATTTGGGCAGTCTGCCCCTACCTAGAGCATTGCTCAGACAATTTAACTAAAATCAGGCCACGATGATGATTATGATAATGCAGTCACAGCTTGAGAACAGTGTACTTTTGCTTAATTCCAAAAATCAATCTGAGAGCCAGTGTGACGTAGTGGTTTGAGTGTTGGACTACAACTCTGGAAACCAGGGTTTAATTCCCAGCTCAGCCATGAAACCCACTAGGTGATCTTGGGCAAGTCACATACTCTCAGCCTTAGGGGAAGGCAATGGAAAACCCCTTCTGAAGAAACTTGCCAAGAAAACCCTTTGATAGGTCTCGGTTAGGTTGCCATAAGTCAGCAATGACTTGAAGGAACACAACAACAGCAACAGCAAAAGCAATCCAATTGGCGAGATGCAATGATGCAGCAGGAGGAAGTGAGAGGAAGGTTATGAGAGAATACTAGCAGTAAGAAGAATTTTACATGAAGTTCACTGTTTACAGAAGAAGGAGTGAAGGAGGATAAAATATAATCCATTATTTGAACAATATCTATCATCACAAGTTCAACCATCGCCACCATTTTAAAATGTTCTAGTGATATATCCCTAAGATGGCACTCTTTGGACCACTGCAAATTTTGGACTTTTGGACCACTGCAAATTTTGGACTTTTGGACCACTGCAAATTTTTTCCAGCTGTTTCACTGATGACGGGTCTTCTACAAAGTCCTCCAAAGAAATGCTTTCAGTTCTTGGTTGCTGTCTGCAGCCATGTATTCAGTTCCAAAGTGTGCTTTATTCACTCCTGCTCTTAACTTTAGTGCACCATAGTTTAGATGTAGTGGCTAGCTTGAAGAGAAATAGGATTGAAGCAGTTGGGGGGAAGTAGCTTGATTTCATGATCTTCAGGTGTATTCCATTTGTACAACTGTCTGGTTCAATTTTATGTTGAAAAAATATAATTAATTACACTAAAAGAAAGGAAAGGAAAGGAAAGCAAGTTAAGAAATTCCTTCTTACGGGAGTGAACTTGATGATTAGGAGCTTCATACAATATACCAATTTCTCAGAATTTGTTCAAGCTATTCTGTTTCATGGCACAATTGTATGCCACGTCTGTTTTTCAGAATGGCTTAAATAAATTACAGTGGAACTAAAAGGACATCTCTGGTGAAAATAATCTCTAAATGCTATATTTTCTTTTTTAAATTCCTTTCTTTGTCTAAGAAAAAGTGGGTCTCTTCCTTGATTTTTCCCTGATATCATCTTACAGAGCTTAACTTTCAAAGCAAAGTGCAGACAAATATACAGCTAGCATCCCTTTTTAAAAACATTATCTTAATATTCTAGTTAATATTATACAACACATTATTAACTAAACTTTTTGTTCAAAGGTTATGTCAGGATCAACTGAAGATCTATAAAAAAATAAGCTTGGGGGTTAATTCTGTTATAAGTTGTGAATGTGGCAATTATGATGTAAGGTTTTTACTTGTATGTACCCAAGGCAATAATTAAAAAATATATAATACTCCCCAGTCTGAACATGTTAAATGCCATAGTTACTCTCATACCAACAGCATTTCTAGGTAGGATTATACCAACAGCAATTCACAACAATTAAAATCTGCAGATTTGTTTATTAGCTTCAATGGGCCATTGCTTGTAAAGGATAATTATCTCAATATTAACACTTCCTTGGCAATGTATTATCCTGAGCATCTTTCTCACAGCAAGACAATATATATAGGGCTGGTCAAACTCCTTTAGACTTTGTGCGTTAGTGGAAATACCGGTAGCCATTTAAATGTCTTTTAAAAGCTCATCATTTTTCTGACATTATCGTCACTTCCTACAGATATATGTATGGAAGGGTGAATAATTTGGGAGGCTGATGTGTGAGGTCTTCTTCCAAATTTGGCATGTAGCTCCAGATGCCAGGGAAGCTCAGTTGTCCTGGGTGATGTATTTCATGCTCCATGATTACCTGTATCATAGATAAGATCATTAGTTTCCAGGTTGGAATGAAACTTGGCAGCTTTCTAGAAACCGGAGAGTAACGCAGGCTTGTTTGGATAATAATCTGAGCCAGAGATGAATTTCTGAGGGGTATTGCAATTTATTATACAGCTGTACTCGTTTTCAGAATTGAAAAATACAGTGATTTTTTAAAAATGTCAATTCCCAGAATTCCCCAGCCAGTATCACCACAGGCTAGGCTTGCTAGGGGATTCTGGGAGCTGTAGTCCAAAACATCTCAAACTGGCAAATACGTATTCTGAATCAGTAAGCATAAATTCTGGCAATGTCACTGGTGTCATCTAAAAGTCAAATAAGTAATTACATGTATCTAGCTAATCCAAAGTAATTTGAGTATTTGTACACTGAATGAACCTAATGACTACCAGTTCAGATTTCCTAAGTCCCATTTAAGAGAGCCAGCATAGTGCAGTGGTTTGAACATTGGACTGCAGCTCTGGAGACCAGAGTTCAAATCCCGGCTTGGCCATGTAAAACCACTGGATGACCATGGGCAAGTCACATACTCTCAGCTTCAGAGGATAGCAATGGCAACCCCCCTTTGAAGAAACTTGCCAAGAAAACCCCATGTTAGGGTCTCCATAAATTGGAAATAACTTGAAGGCACACAACAACAAAATTCCATTGATTGCAGTGGAAATCCCAGAGCAGTGCACGCACAAATAAAATATTTACTCACACCAAAAATTCATATAGTATTGATTGATGGGACTTAATTTCTAGACACACACAAAGAAGAAAATGAATGGGATGATCCCTCCTGGCAAAAGTGATTTTTATGATCATGTACATACCAGCTCAGCTATGTAAATCCACTGGATGACTCTAGGCAAGTCACACTCTCTCAGCCTCAAAGGATGGCAATGGCAACACACAGACCCCGAAGAAACATGCCAAGAAAACCCCTTGCCTTAGGGTTGCCATAAATTGGAAATGACTTGAACAACAACAAACATGGATAAAGAATCTGGACAGGTTCTTTTTTGGGGATTTTTGGAGAACTGCAACACACATTCCACTGATTTCTGTTGAATTAAATTAGCTCAACAGTAAGAACCATATGGTAACAGAGTTGCATTAACATATAACATTTGTTTAAAAATTGCTTTCAATTTGTATAGTAAGCTTTTTATAATAGCTACTTTTAAAAGGTAATACCATAAGAAGTTGAGAAACAAAGAAATTGAGGTCACTTACAGATGGTCAGGATGAAATCATAATCATGTTCTTCCTTGTCCATTAATCCAGACTTCCCCAACATGCAATTTAATGTTCATAGCATGGATGGTGGCAAGAAAACCCATTTTTATGGAAGCCTTTCATGTCATTGTGTATGTGGCACTGAGATACACTGCAGTGCCCTTTGGGCCAATGTTAGGGATTAATGGTACTTTAGGAAGCCTTTTTCTGTGCTTTCAATAATTTGGTACTGTAGACACTTACCTGGAAGCCTTGAAATAAATAACATTCATTTTAATAAAAGCACCAGAGCCAATGGTATACTTCCACTGGATCCTGTTGTTTCTGCTCATTCCTCCATTCAGTCTGAAAACTTGCTCCAATATTTGTTAATTTAAATAATAAGGTATTGTCTAATTTTTGTTTTATTGCTACCATGGTCCTGCACAATTTTTTTTCCTGCTTCAGGTGAAAATGACTTCAATGGCATTTTTAAAAATTTACATCATGTATTGGGTGGGTGGAAGTGCATGAAAATGTCTTGGATTGGCCATTGTGTATTATAGTTATTCACCTACATTTGTGTACCATGTATTCATAACTGCTGCATCTAGGCTAATTTTAAAAAAGCACTTTTCAGTTCACAAAATATGTTTAGGAAAGTTGTTAAGCAGTATATTTAGAAAACAGACACATTTATCAAAGTAAAACCCTATATTAAGAGAGGGTTTATATGTTAAAGTGAGACTAGATATTTTAAAATTAATTTGTGACATAAACATAGCATTAGAAATCTTTTTTTTTTTACCCCCCAGCCTTTCAAATTAAAAACAACAGCAACAACTTCAGGTGTAGCAAATTTGATTTGGTTATGAACAAAGAAGATTTTTTTAAAAAATGCCATAGAATCAAAGAACTATAGAGTTGAAAGAAACCTCAAGGGCCGCCATCCAGTCTAAACCACTGCCATGCAGGAATACACAATCGATGCACTCCCGACAGATGGCCATCCAGCCTCTGTTTAAAAACCTCCATAGAAGGAGACTCCATCACAATCTGAGGCATTTCCATGTTCTACTATTGAACAACTCTTACTACCAGGAAGTTTAGGTGGAATTTCTTTTCACAATTTGTCACTAATTCACTTGTCATTGATACAAATCAAATATTTAGCAATCTTGGAGTTTTGGTAACTGAATGTTTTCTTGGCAGTCAAAGACGCAGTCACACACATAACAAGCAGAAGCATGAAAAATATCAAAGTTCCTGTTTGTCATAGCTGGATTAAGGATGTTCTCACAGAGACAGAGTTACCTGTTTTAGTTAATCCTGATTTACATTTGCATGT